TAAAATTCTACTCGGTTTTCTTTAAAACTGAGTAGAATGAATCTATTTTAAGCTGTTTACATTTAGAATTTTCATTTTCGTCTTCTATCTTTCTTTTTATCATTCACATAAACAAACATACATCGTAAATCAGTCGAACCTTTTTCTGGTAAGTAAGTCTTCCTCATATATATTAATATATATTAATCCTGAATTTGATTCCATCAGCTCGAACTGTATGTAAAGTTAACAAATATCTTTTCTTTAAATTGGAAGAGTCGATCGCATCGTAGATAAAAAATATATTAGATTCCTCAGAACGTGAAAACATGATTATATAGATAAATTTCTACTCAGTTTAACAACTGAGTAGAAAAAATACATTAACCAAAAAGATATTTATTCTGTTTTTCGATTGACTTCACAAACTCATCATCAAAATTCATAAAATAGATTTCATAACAATCCTTGCAAATCTTGTGACAATGATATTTTAGATTTCTCGTTTCACATCTTTCAACTTTACAATCGTAAAATTCATCCTTGAACCAAACACCAAATAAAATACAATACGATCTTTTCGAACATCGTGAACAAAGTGATTTCGATCTTTCATAGTCTTCGATTGAAAGGATTTTTAATGAATACTCATTTTTGGGGGAGAGTAAGAACTTACTTTTAGAATAATATATGAATTCAATTTCTTTGTAAATTAAATAATGACTACTTCTGATCAATTTATTTCCTCTTTTCTTAAATAGAAAATAATAATCATCTTTTTTTATGGTGTTGTAAACATCAACCGTACCCACATTTAACAAAACATATTTGGTTCCATATAATTTGAAAAGGTAATGATAAAGATAGTAGAACTTGCGTGATATTAATTTGATAGATAAGGTTGTTGGTAAATCGACCAATGTTATATTATTAGATTGGAAAAGTTGACGAAATATCAGAATCAAAATTTCATTTGGTAAAATAACAATGTTATTCATGATTGATCAGATGAAAATCTGCTCGGTTTAAACTGAGCAGATATGAAAAGAATCCAATGTGAAATAATCGTGTAGATCGTAACTACTATAATATCTTCGCATAGACCCAACAATAACAAATTTCTTTGTCTTTTGATTAAATGAAAAAAGAGGAAGAAATTCATAGTTATCATATTTTAAAATTATCTTTCCATTATAGTAATAATAATAATATTCTGTTTTTTTGAAAAGAGTATGATCAGATGTTAAAATATATTTGGTTCCATGAATCTTAAACAATGAAAGATAACAATCGTGCCATTTTCTACAAACAAATTTGATTGATAAGGTGATTGGTAAATTATATAAAGTTATTTTGTCTTGGAAAATATGGTAAAATATCATAAGTAGAATCTCATTTGGTAACTTGTTCATTATTGGATAATATAATGAATGATTGAGCAGATGAAAATCTGCTCGGTTTAAAAACTGAGCAGAAAAGAATAAAAATAACCTTTACTGAATTAATTGATTAAAAAATTGAATATAAACTTCAATTTTACATTTACATTTTTTCTGACAAGATTGAAGCCGCTGACAATTCTTACATAAAGAAATAATATTATCAAACACAATATGATCAGGATAAATTTCATTGACTCTTGATTCATATTCC